CGCCGGTGGAGGCGAGGGTCCCCCTTGCCGGCGAGGGCGAGGGCTGGACCCTCGCCGCCTGGGCGAGGCGGCTCGCCGTCGGTCATGGCGAGGTCGGCCTCGCCCAGATCGAGCGAGGTCGAGCCTCGCCGTGGGTCGCGACGGCGAGGTAGGCCTCGCCCGGATCCGGCGAGGCCGAGCCTCGCCGTCGCAACCCACGGCGGGCCGACTCACCGTGGGTCGCGACGGCGAGGCTCGGCCTTGCTAGATCCGGGCGAGGCCGACCTCACCGTCGCGACCCACGGCGAGGCTCGGCCTCGCCCGATCTGGCGAGGCCGACCTCGCCGTGGGTCGCGACGGCGGGCGGCGGCCGGGCGGCAGCGAGGGCCGCGACGCCCGGCCGTGGCCTCGCCGTCGCGACCCACGGGCGAGGTCGGCCTCGCCCGATCCGGGCGAGGCCGACCTCGCCGTGGGTCGCGACGGCGAGCAGCGGCCGAGGCGGCGGCGAGGGCTGCGACGCCACGGCTTTGTGGCCGGCCGCCGGCGCCGGCGACCGGCCATGGCCAAAGAAGGAAGGATAGAAAGAAAAAAAAAAAGAAAAAAAATATTAAACAATTTAAAATATTATTAATAAAAAGAAATTTTGTGTAGTTACCAAACGTATTTCTGTTCTTTTCTATCCCAGGAATAGAAATTTTGGACAGTTACCAAACGCCTTCAAATGCTTAGAAATTATTTCCGGGCACAGAATAAAAAAGAACCATTTCTGAGTAGAAATAGTTCCCCGGCATAAAAATATTGTCATGCGCACCCTAAGGGTGCTCTCTTCTTGTCATTCGGTCATTTCATCGAACACTTCCTAAGCAGTATCCGTATATTCATTAGACGCGATAGCAGCTTTGATCCTGATTCCCAGAGCTCGACGCGAGAACGGGTTTTTCGGCTTGATTTGGGCTAAGAAGTTGAAGAGCTCAACCGGTGGAGAGAAAATTCGAAAGTGAACTCAACAGTCAGTTCGTTTCCAAGACCAGGTGAACCAGTCCCCGATTCCAGAAACTAGGAACCAGCCCCTCTAGTCTAGTTCCTACCGGACCACTCAGAAACCGATCAACCCTAATGACAAAAGGCCAAAAATTCCTTATATATTCCTCTCTTAGAAAATGATGAAATAACCCTCCTTCAAAATGACAAAAATGTCCTTATTATTGCTATTATAAACACATTCAAGAGAAAAGTGAAATTCGGTTATGGGCCTAGGGAAACAAAATTATGTCACACTAAGGATGCGTTTATTTCATGGAAAATGTAGCGTTTTCGGAAAATATTTTTCGGGAAATCATTTTCTAGGAAAATGGTTAGCTTTCTTTGTTTGGTGATAGGTGATCGAAAAAATTTTCTGATGTATGGATCTCATTTGGAAAATGATTTCAAAATGCGTTTGTTTCACCAACCCACGCTTGTGGCCTGTTGCCGCCGAGGTCGGCGACCGGCGGAGGGAGGAAGAAGGAAAGAGAAAAAGAAAGAAAAGAAAAAGGAAAAGAAAAAAACAAAAAACAAAATAGTAACAAATTCAAGATGATTAATCTCTGAAAGTGTTTTCACCTTCTTATATTAGGGAATTCACTTTCCTAATTTTATACATATATATTTTCTTTGACCGTAAAGTATTTTCGATTGACTTATCATTTTCGACGACCAAACGAGTGAAAGTCTGGAAAACGGATTTCCGGAAAATACTTTACCTCAAACAAAAGCACTCTAACTGTGAGATAGAGAGAATTTTCTAGAGTTTTTAATTTATATTATTTCTTTTTTTTTATTATTTTTTAAACGTGTGCTGTTGACGAAATTCAGATGTGAACAAAGAGGAGAAGGAGATAGAGAAGGGAAAAAGACTGATGGCACTGGGGAGACCATGGGCCATCGATTTCACCAACAATTATATACTTCTCATGCCACTCACACTACTTGAACGTCCAGCTACTGCGGATAGACTACGTCGGCATTACAGTCATGATCATCACCTCATTCTTCCCCCCAGTCAACTATATTTTCCAGCACGAGCTGCAATGGCAACTAATCTACTTTGGCGGAATAACTGTGATGGGGATGGTCACCGTCGGGACACTGGCTGCCCCTTTCTATTCTTTTGGGAAATTCTAGGCGTTTCGGGTGATGCTCTTCAAGTTCATGGGGTTTTTTGGTATTGTACATGTGATCCATGCCCATATTGTGAATTGGAGCAATTCCTGGCGCCCGATCACACTTGCATATAAATTATACTTAATGTTCTTAACAACTTAAGCATTTTCTAAGAGTCGCCACTAACCAATTTGAGATTGGGCAGAAATCAATCCAAATGTGGGAGTGTCATCTCAAATTCTATGTAACCAGAGATTCTAGCTCAAGGACTTGATTACGCTAATATTTCTATTAACGTCATTTCTGTGCTAGTAACTTGAAATGTTGTTATCTAGAGGGTCATGCAATCATGATTACCAATTATGATCCTAAGGTGTCAAAGCCACTAGGTGTTCATGCAAATGTTGTTAAGGGGTTCGTTATGATCCTGACCTAAACCTAACCATTCTAGAAATGAAAAAACAACCAATTTATTGAAGTGCGGTGCAGTAAAAAAACACTCAGGTATCCAAATGACTTTGAAGTAAATGCAGATATGAAAACTCAATATTCATTGGGCAAAGAATATGCATAGCCATGTCATAAGCCCTCGAACATGATCTCCCATGAGCTAATTTGAATCAAGTTCAATTTCCTACCTAAAAGATTAATCTACTAAGACTGAACTGAATCAAATGTGTCCACTAAAACCCCTAAACTAAAGGGATGCTATCCAATTGAAATTAAGCTAAATTTCATACTAAAAAACTAATAACCTAATCAAGGCCTATTTTAAAACTATTTTCTAATTTTTTTTAATCTTCAGAATATTTCTAATTCTCAATTTTTAATTAATTTTTTTTTACTTTTTTGTATTATTATTTTAATTCCGGAGATGGGACTCGGGCTGGGCTGTTGAGCCCAGTCCGAATAAGGACAGAGCTTGGACCATGCGGGTCCAGGTCAAAGAAGAAGTGAAAGGCCTAATAAACGAAATGGGCTTACTTGCTCAAGTCCAATTCAATTCCAACCAGAATCAAGCCGGAATTTTCTAAAGCCGAAGCAAACCCAAATTTATGGAAAACAAACATGCTCATAAGTGTTCAAAGTAGTCCAGGATCAGAATAGACTATACGCTAACTTGGTTTTGGCATTTTAACAAACATATGGTGGGACATTTCCCAATGGTGTTTAGATACTCAAACCAACTTAGCAACTGACTCTCGGATTAAAGCCAACGTGCAAACGAGCTAAGTATCGTCAGTTTAACATCAAGCTTATGTTGGAATCAAAAGGAATAATGACAACTTTGGAAATTTAAAGCAAGTGCACACAAGTTGAAAGGAGAAATTGTTCTTAGAATACTTTATTATGACATTTTATACAACACTCACCCTCTGGTCCTTATACAATAGGAGAACACTTACGATATATTTAATGTTAAAGATAAATATTTCACACACTTATTACCTAACGACAAAATGTCAACATACATTAAATGAGCCATGGAGGCTTGAGCACTCCTTCTGACAACATTAAAAGAAGCAACGAAAAAGTCCACAAAGATGAAAGATAAGAAGTCCACAAATAATAAATGCGTGAATGAAACAAGCGTAGAAATACGTGGAAAACTCTTCAATGACATCTGTCTTCATTAAATGCTTGGAGCATTTGTCTTCGTTCTTCGTCATGCCCCTGCAAACATTTAATAAGATCTTCACAGAAAGATTTGCCTTCTTGTTCACTCTTGTTGATTTCTTTCTGTCTTCACGGAGGATTATCAACACAATAATCAATTTTATTCATACTTTAACAGCCTCTCTTAAATTGATTTTGAAAATCAATAAAATCGAGCATTTCCTTTAATTTTTTAAATGAATCTGTCTTCAATGATTTCGTTAAAATATTTGTAATTTAATCTTTTGATTCGCAGAAATTAAGCTCAATCTCACCATCTTTGACTCGTTCACGAATATAGTGATACTTAATGTTGATGTGTTTGCTCCTCCCATGAAAAACTTAATTCTTGGCTAATGCAATAGCCGACTTATTGTCACACATCATTTTGGTAGGACCTGTTTGTTCATGATTCAATTCACAGAGCATCTTACGAAGCCATATCACCTGACATGTCACCGAGGCGAACGCCATATATTCTGCTTCGGCCGTCGAGAGTGCAACAACTTGTTGTTTTTTAAAGGACCAAGAAATTACTCCTGATCCAAGAAAAAAAACATATCCAGAAGTACTCTTTCGAGTCTCGGTATCACCTACCTAATCACTGTTTGTGTACCTCACTAGACTGAAATTGTCAATATAAGAATATAAAATTCCATGATCACGAGTTCCACTGACATATTGCAAATTCTTTTGCTGCCTGCAAATGTGATTGATACGGTTTTTTTATGGACCTGCTGATAATTCCTATTCCATGGATAATATCTGGCCTAATAGATGCCAAATATCTCAAATTGCCAACAATGCTTTTTAAATAAGTGGGATTACCAATTCATCGGTTCCTTCTTTCTTCAGCTCCAGCCGTTCTACTACAGGAGTCTGAATTGATTTGAGCGATTCCATTTTCAATCGCTTCAAATATCATTAGCATATTTCTGTTGTGAAATAAATATGCCATCATTTTCTTGCTTCACTTCAATGCCAAGAAAATAGGACATCAATCCCAAATTTGTCATCTCAAATTGGCTAGTCATAGCCTCCCCGAATTCAGCAAACATCTTTTCACAGCTCCCTATAAATATCAAGTCATCAACGTAAAGGCATGCAATTATTATGTCACCATTAGTATCTGACTTAATATACAATGTATGCTTATATGGGCACTTTTGAAAACCATGCTCTAACAGGTATGTGTCGATCCGTGTGTACCAAGCACGAGATACCTGTTTTAGCCCATACAATGCCTTCTTCAGCTTGTAAACTTGATTTTCATGCCCTTTCTTCTCATAACCCTGTGGTTGCTCCACATAGACTTCCTCTTCAAGGACACCATTGAGAAATGCTAATTTTCACATCCATTTGATGAATCCTCCAACAGTTTTGAGCTACAAGTGCTAAGATCATCCGAATGGTATCCATTCGGGTCACTGGTACAAATACTTCAAAATAATCAATACCTGGCTTTTGCTTGTAGCTCTTAACAACCAGTTTGGCTTTGTAACGATCCACCTGACTGTTGGGTTGGTACTTCATCTTGTACACCCACTTAACACCAATGGGCTTCCTATCATGAGGTAAAGAAGTTAGCACCCATATGTCATTCTTCTCAATGGAGTATATTTCTTCATCCATTGCTTGGATCCACTTCTCAACAACAACTGCTTCATCATAGGATATAGAGTTGCATTCATCAAATAAACAAAAGTTTACCATAGTTTCATCAATGATTCCGTCACTATCACTATCATTGTCTCTTGTGACAACATAATCCCCGAATTTTGCTATAGTCTCTCACAATTGCTGTGAACGACATAATGGTGGTTCTAAAGTTGTTGGTGATGAAGATGCGCCACCGGTCGAAGATGATGGAGACAAAGTACCACCAATCGAAGATAATGAAGGTTTTTCTGCATCTCTCTTCAATGGTTCATCTTCAATGATAATGCTTTTTTGGTCAACCTTTTGGTCTTGGTCCCAGGCTTCATTTCTAAAAACTGGACATCCCTGCTGATGATCACCTTTTCAATGATTGGATTATACAACTTATAACCTTTAGTTGTGTCATTGTAGCCAATGAAGATGCACTTCTCGCTTTTATCATCCAACTTCCTCCTCCGTTCATCTGGTATATGGGGATATGCTATACACCCAAATACTCGTAGAAATGAAACATCTGGCTTATTGCCGCTCCAAGCCTCTTATGGGGTTCTTCCATGAACACTTTTTGTTGGACACTTGTTTAGCACAAATACAGCACACGCAACTCCTTTTGCCCAAAACTTCTTGGGTAAATTTTTAGCTTTTAACATACTTCTTGCCATTTCAAAAATTGTTCTATTTTTTCTTTCTGCTACACCATTTTGCCGAGGAGTATAACTGGTAATCAACTGACGTTTCACTTCATAAAGTTTACAATATTTGTCAAATTCATTTGAGGTAAATTATCCCCCTCTATCTGATCTCAACGTCTTCAAATTAAAGCCACTATGCTTTTCAATATAGACTTTAAATTCTTTAAATTTGCCAAAAGCTTCAGATTTTTCTCTCAGAAAATATACCCAGCTTTTCTAGTAAAATCATCCACAAAAATTAATATGTACATTTATTTCCTCGAATGATTCAACCTTAATAGGGCCACATATGTCAGTATGTATCAACTCCAATGGTTGTATTACTCTTATGGCCTTACCAACTGGAAAAGTTTCTCGATGTTGTTTTCCAACAAGGCATCCTTCGCATGGACGATTTGAACAGTCAATCAAAGGCATGTCAGTCACCATCTTTTTATGAACCAATAATTTTAGTCCACGAAAATTTAGATGCTCAAATCGAAGATGCCACAACTAATTGTCGTCTTTCATCATCGCTTGAAACTCAAGAGATTCTTCGTCTGAAGAGTCATGGGAAACATTCGGTTCTTCATCATTTGCATCATCGTGATCAACTTATTGTCGACACCTCTGATGGTGCAAACTCCATTTTAAATATGAACCTTGTGGCCTTTTTCGGAAAGTTGCCCAACACTTATCAAATTCCAAAAAAGTCATGGCACAAAGTAAATATCTGCAATAGTAACATTAGTACCATCTTTTGACTTGATAGTGATGTTACATTTACCTATCATGGGAATTTTTTATTTATTCCCGAAATTGACTTTGCCACGACTCGTTTTGTCCAACTGCGAGAAAACTCCTTCCGGCCGGACATATGATTGCTGCAACCAATATCCAAGTACCATATATTGGTGTCTACGGTGCTTGAGTCATCCTTCTTGCATGCTAGCACCATGTATTCTTCAGCATCGGTACATTGCCTTTGCTTGGCATTCGGATTTGTAATGGCCGAATTTCTGGCACTTAAAACACTTGACTTTTGATTTGTCACGTGTTTTATATTTTCCGGTGAAATTCAAATTTCCACCTCTACCTTGGCCTCCTCCGCAACCTCAACTGCCTAGATAGCCACCTCGACTTGATGGAGCAACCCGACTTTGCAATGCTTGCTTGGAATTTGAACCAATGGACTTTTGATTCATTCTTTGCTCATGCAAGCACAATGAACCCATCAACTGCTCCAACGTTAGGGTTGACACATCTTGCCCTTCCTTGATCACTGTGACAACGTAGTCAAATCTTTCGATCAAAGACCTCAAGTTTTTTTCCATGACTCGTACATCTTGGAGTTCTTCACCATTAACTCTCAATTGCACGCAATCAAAATATGCGGAGACTGATTGAGAGTCGTCCATGCGTAAAGACTCAAAATCATCTCGAAGTGTTTGAAGTCAAACCCATTGAACACGATCATCGCCTTTGTAGGATTTTTACAAAATATCCCACGCTTCTTTCGCGGTCTCCGCACTCGATATTTTTTCAAATATCGTTTCATCCACGGATTGAAAGATCGCATATAATGCTTTCTGATCTTTCTTCTGAGACTCCACCAAAGAATCTTTCTCCTCCTTTCTTAAAGCCTCGAATGCTTCAACATTGGTTACTTCGGTGGAGCCATTTTCTACCGGATTCTACAAATCTTACGATTTGAAGAGAACCTTCATGTGGACGGACCAGTTATTGAAATTCTTTCCATTCAACTTTGAAAGTTCCAATTGAACGAAATTAATGGATGCCATCTCTAGCTTTGATAACAAATGTTGGAACCAAAAGGAATAATGACAACTTTGAAAATTAAGAGCGAGTGCCCAAATTGGAAGAAGAAATTGTTATTAGAATACTTTCTGATGACTTCTTATACAACACCCACCCTCCGGTCTTTATATAATAGGAGAACACCTACGATATATTTAATGCTAAAAACAAACATCTCACACGCTCGTTACCTAACGATAAAATGTCAGCATACATTAAATGAGCCATGGACCCGTGAGCACTCCTTCTGTCAACAATAAACGAAGCAATGAAAAAGTCCACAAAGCTAAAATATAAGAAGTCCACAAACAATAAATGCGTGGATGAAACAAGCGTATAAATATATGGAAAACTATTCAATGACCTTTGTCTTCATTGAATGCTTGGAGCATTTGTCTTCATTCTTCGTCATGCCCTTGCAAGCATTTAATGAGATCTTCATAGAGAGATCTGCTTTCTTGTTCACCTTCGAAACTCTGTTGGGTATGGATATAGCGAGGAAACAGATTAATCTGTTTCCGATATAAAAGCAACAAGATTCAATCCATAAAATGTGGATTCGTACCTTGTCAAAATAGGCCTCTGATAGTAGCCGATGAACATGTGGGCTTGAGGTAGCTAGGAGCTTTGTCACCAACGAGGGTACCGACCGGCGATGGAGCGTAAGGTTTGCTAGACTACTATACCAAAAGGCAAGGCTGAACAGGAGAGTCACCAGCGTAGCTTTCGGGGCCGATCTGCAGCAAGGAGCGACGGTGAACGATGTTGGGGGACACCGTCGGGAATAAACTTTTCAAAGCTTTTCTTTTCTCAAAATCCCATTCTTTCCGGCCTAATACCTTAAAAAACCTCAAACTTTAGCTCTTGTCCCAATTCTAACTTTTGTCTAAAAAAAAACCTTAAACTTTAAGTCCTGTCCAAATTATACCCTAAACTTTTTTGTCCCATAAAAAACCTAAAACTTTAGGAAAAGTCCCAATTCTACCCTAAACTTTTTTTCTCTAAAAAAATCCTCAATTTTAGGTCAAGAATGAATTTTACCATAATTTTTTTTGTCTTATAACAGATCACCAACTTTTACTAGATCACCAATTTTTACTTGAATCTCAAATCTGCTCTCCATTAAATCTCCGTCAAAATTGCCCTTTGGATTTTGCGCTCGTCGATCTCTCGTGCTTGGGAATATTTCATTTCTCGTGGTCGGACAGCTCACGCATGAGACGCTCGAACAGCTCGTGCTTGAGAGTTTTTCATCTCTTGGTTGTTAATAAGAAATGTTGAACGGAGGGTTAATGGGGGCAGATTTATGACTCAAGTAAAAATTTGTGGTTTTGTATGAGATTATAAAAATTTTAGGGTAAAATTGGGACTAGACGGTAAAATCGAGACAGACTTAAAAGTTATGGGTTTTTCATAGGACAAAAAAATTTTAGAGTGGAATTGAGACATAACCTAAGGTTGAGGGTTTTTTATGTGATAAAAAAAAGTATGATAGAATTGAGACTAAATCTAAAATTGAAGGTTTTTTATAAAATAAAAGGTAATATTGAGATAAAAGTTAAAGTTGGAGATTTTTCGGGATATTACGCACATTCTCTCCCCGTTATGCTGTCTCCTCGTCTCTCCGAATCCCGTGTGAGCTTGTAGAGGTGACGAAGTATTGCAGGCGCAATGATGTAAGATCATTGCGGATGGAGGAAAGCCAACGAAGAATAGAGAGATTTTGATGAACGTGTGTTCCCTCCCTAGAGAATTCGTCAGCACCCTTTTTTTAAGAATCCAAGAGCTCGTGAACGTAAAAAAGATGTCCTATTTCTCGTCCTTTTGTGCCACCTCCTTTGTGACATTTCGATTTTCGACCCATTTTTAAGATTTATAAAATATGTAATTCGTCAGTTTGCTTATAGTATAATCTCGCTCGGGAAACTGATCACTCTCGGTTATTATTTTTAAATTAGAGATTTCGCTAGAATCACACTTGATCGATTTTGACCGTTATTTAAAGCCTAAATTTTGATGTCGAATTTTTTGGAATTTCGGGACGAATTTAATTGGACGGTGTCGATATTATTGTGGCCAGCCTCGAGATTGCCTGGAATATGTAAAAAGTGAATTTTTGATCGGGTGTAAATTTGGATTAATAGATCTCCCTCGTAGTGTGTTTTTATTAATATCTTTTGATCCTTTTTCTTAATTTATAATTAGGATTTTCGTGAACCGTTGGATCGATTTTGGATTTGAATGTGGATCATTAGATTAGCACTTGAGTGTTTAACTTTTGTGTGTGTGTCTCCTTTCTCCTCCGCCGCGCCTGCGCGCACGTCTCCTGTCCCCTCTCTCTCTCTCTCTCTCCTTCCCCATGCAACGTCCCCTCCGCGCACGTTCCCCTTGCCACCTCTCTCTCCTCCTTTTCTTCTTTCCTTCTTTTCTTCTTCTCTCGGTTTTTCTTTCTTCCGCCCGATTGTGGATCGTATACGCTTGCTCACTCGCCCGACCACGCTTACCCTGGCCCATCGCTCATGCGGACCGTCCGCCCGCGCGCGCGCCCTCTGACCACCGCGCCATCACCGCCGTGACCCCCCCTCTCCCTTCCCATCCCCTGTTTTCTTCGCCCCGACTCCTCCCCTGTTCTGCCTCGCCCGCGACCGCCCCCACGCCGCCGTTCCGGCCGCCAACGCCCCCACTGGCTCGCCGCCACCATCCTAGCTCCCTCTCCCCCCCCAAGCCGCCGTCGCCCCTGCTGCTCCGGCAACGACGCGTCTACCTTCCCCTGTTTCGGCCGAGCCTCATGCCCCATTTCCTTGCCGCACAGCTGCGCTCGCCTGACTTCAGTTGCCGCTGGCGTGCCGTCTTTCGTCCCTGACCAGGAGCTGTCTCCGTCGCCCCTCCTCTTCCTTTTCTTCCCCACTGTTCGCGCGGCCTCCCGGGTCGCGCGGAGCCGAGGCCGACCAGATCCGCCGCTCGCCGTCCGTCCAACCTCCGACGCCACCGCCGCTTTTGCCGTCCGCCCTTGACGGCTCCGTCGCGCCGTCGCCGCTCCTGCCCACTGCCATTGTTCCACGGAGTACCTCGATTCTTGCCGTTTTGCCTCTCGCTCGTCCTTTTTGGCCCACCCGTCGCCCCCATTCCGTCCGCCGTCATTGTCCGGCCCGCGGCCGTCCGCCGTCCAGGCCCGCCACGGGCCGTTCTTTGTTCCGGCGAGGTCCCCGCCACTCGCCGGTGCAGCCGCTTCTCACCACCGTGAACCCAACCGCTCGCCCTTGCTGCTGCTGAGTCGCCGCCACCGCTGTCCCGGCGATCCTCCCTGTGGCCCAGCCCCATTTTCTTGCTCAAGTCGAGGTAATCGACTTCCTAATCCCGACTTAGGATGATGGGTAATGCTAGACTTGTTTAGGGGTTCGTGTGTTCGTGTGTGGGCTGAATATAGGGGATATAGTGGCTGTCATGGGCTGTTCGCCGTGGTTTTGGTGGCCGTTGAGCGCGATTGGGTGGCTGAGTTATGGGCTGGTTCGGGGCGAGTGGAGGGGCCGAAGTATGGGCTGAATCGCGATGGTTTATGGCTGAATTTTGTGGTTGGATTAGAGGTCGTTAGTGCTGGAATTTATGCCGAGATCGTCGGTCGTTCGTGCGTGATTTAATGGTGTTAGTGCTGGAATTTATGCCGAGATCGTCGGTCGTTCGTGCGTGATTTAATGGTCGTTTGACGGTAATTCGTGTTGATGATTCGTGATGGGGATAATGCGCCTATTGTGAGTTGAGGCTTAGTGTGATTGTATGAGGGGCCATTGAGGCTAGAATATTAATTTAGTGTGTGATTGTTCCGTGTGGTCCAAATGCTTGAATTGTGTTCATATGTGGTGAATTAATGATTGGTTGTGATCGCTCTATAGTGATCGTAGGTGTTTGTTGAAATGCAACGTGAATTGGTAGAACCGTGGCCTTTTTGGCTTGAGCATGGCGAATTGTGTTGTGGTTGTTTGGAATGGTTGTGTGATATTTAATTCAGTGAAAGACGTGAAATTGATTAAATTAAGTGGCGTGTATGTTTGCTTGAAAAGCCCGGATTGATCGGAAAGCCCGGATTGATCGGAGGGCTACCAACCTGAGGCGTGGTTACGCGGGTGTGGCGAGAAAGGCAAGAAAAGACCTGAGACGTGTTTACGCTGGTCATTGGAAAGAAAGTTGGGCCTGAGGCGTGTTTACGCGGGCAGTGAGAATGAGCCTGAGGCGTGTTTACGCGGGCTGTGAGATTGGACCTGAGGTGTGTTTACGCGGGTGTGATTGGGCCTGAGGCGTGTTTACGCGGGCAGTGAGAATGAGCCTGATGCGTGTTTACGCGGGCTGTGAGATTGGACCTGAGGCGCGTCAGGCCCAATCACACGACTCGCGTTGACGCGAGTTGTGGATAGTTGGTTGGACACGTGTGCGTAATGTGAGTGTTTGGATTGGCTGGATGAATATGTGGATGTTTGGTTGAATTGGTTGAATGTACGTGCGGATGTTTCGTTGGATTGGTTGAGTGCAAGTGTGGATGGCGCTCGAGCGATTGTGTTATATTCTCGGGATATTATTGAATTACCATAATTTGACTAATGTGCAGAGATGGCGTGTGATTTTGAGGCAAGGTAAGTACATTATGTGAAATTTGTTATTGCATGTTTGGACTCGTCTGGGTACGCATTGGCTTATGTGGGGTTTAGGGGTCTGCTTATTGAGATTTATCTCATTCCCGGTGTTAAACATTTTCAGGTTTTGAGTGACGAACAGTCGTCACGTGCGGGTCAGAGGCCGGGGGTGGTATTGGACATTGATGCTTCATCCTTGTTTGGATGCCCATTGTTAATAGTGAAGTTAGGTTACCCAACCATCGCCCCCTTTTGATGATCGTGGTTTGAAGTTAGTAGCCAAGGGTTGATGTTGTGTATTGTGAATGCTGTAGGTAATTGCCAAGCTTGTTATGCGTATATTGATTTGTGCAAATACTATCCTTTGGTCATTATTTATTGTCTGGGTTATTTCTATTTCGCTTCCGCTTGTCTTTATCGTTGGTTGTTTCGTTTGGGTCGACGACGTGTCCTGCGACGTCGCGTTCAATACGGCCATCGAAGGGATGTCGCAAGCCCGTCGGGGTTCGGGGCGTGACATCCTTCCTTGCCAAAAATAAATGGATTAATACCACGAAAAATCACAAACTGATATATCTGTGATAAGTTTACCCTAAACTTTTTTTTACCACAAAAAACCCTAAACTAATATACTTGTGACAACTTTACCCCCGAACTAATTTTTTGACCACAAAAAACTCCAAACTAGTATACCTGTGACAAATTTACCCTCTATTAGTTTCTGTTAAATTTTACTGTTAAATTGTTAAGTTTAATGATACGTGGTAATTGACAGGTGTATCAGTTTTGGGTTTTACCCTTCTGTTTGTCACAAGTTTACTAATTTGTGATTTTTTGTGATATTAATCCAATTTCACAGGCACTAACAGAGGGTAAATTTATCATAAATATACCAGCTTGAAATTTTTAGTGGTCAAAAAATTGGTTTAGGGGTAAAATTATCACAGGTATACTAGTGTGGGGTTTTGGTAGTCAAAAAATTAGTTCAAAGTAAAATTATCACAAGTATACCAGTTTAGGATTTTTGGTGATCAAAAAAATAGTTTGGGATAAATTTGTCACAGGTGTACCAGTTTGGGGTTTTTGGTGGTCAAAAAAATAGTTTGGGGTAAATTTGTCATAAGTGTACCAGTTTGAGGTTTTTCGTGGTATTAATCCAAAATAGAATAACCTAAAATTTATTCAGGTTTCAAGCCTACAATGTTGAGGATTTGGGTCATTAAGGACGTGCCATGTGGCATGGGAATTTCAGCTCTAGAGAGAAAGGCACGGTTCAGGGTCAAATTGGGCTGAGCTTTATTTGGCCTGGCCTAATGGGCCGGGTCAATTTCGGTCAAACTGGATTGAACAGAGTCTTTGAAATCTCTCATAATTAACAAAATTTCCCGAGATACCGGTTGGGAAAATTCAGATGTCAATAGGGTTTGTTGATATTATGTTGTTAGTGTGTGTACACCCCAAATCAAAGAGCCTAAAGAAGAGATAGCACTCCATGTCAGAGGGGATGCCTCCATTTATAAAGAAGTGGAATGCTCATTGTATTAGTTATATTTTTATCATTTTCCATGGATGATTTGATTTTTACAATGTGATCATATGCGGGTGATAATCTTTTATGTTTTCATCTTATCATGAGTTGTATGTAACATTGATGCTCCATAATTTTAGTTCTTCTAATATTACTTTTCCTTTTTTTGCTAAAGAGTACTCCACCACCACCACCATGAGAATAGTTTGTTAACTGCAATATTGTCCTATGTATGACAGAAAAAAACTAGAGCAGGAGGATGGTGAATTATTTTGTACTTTGGGTGGTGAATTTTAAGAAGAATAAACTGATACAACATATAGAACTACTAAGAGTCTACCTAATATGGGAAAAATTGTTAAATAAGTGCTAAACTTATTGTACGGTGGCCAATTTAGTCCCAAATCTTCAAATGTGCTAATTTAGTCTTAATTTTTTTGATCATTTGCCAATTTAGTCCTAAATCTTTTGATGACTCATCAATTTAGTCATTTTGGCCAATTTTAGCTGGAAATCGTTGACGTGGACGCCGGATGGCCACTGGCCATCCTATGTGGTGTGGCTGGCGTTGACGTGGACAAATTTTATAATTTTTAATTTTTTCCTTTCCTTTATTGACCACAGGCTAGAGGGGCAGGAAAGGTAAAAAGAAAGAAAGGAAAAAAGAGAAAAAAGAATTTTTTTAAAAAATGCAAAATTTGTCAATGCTAGTGATTTCTAGCCAAAATTGGCTGAAAGGATCAAATTGGCAAGTTGTCAAAATATTTTATGACTAAATTGACAAATCATCATAAGGTTGAGGATTAAATTGGTACAATTAAAATGTATAGGACTTAATTGTTAAGTTGTCAAAAGGTTTAAGACTCAATTGACACAATTAAAAGGTTAAGGACTGAATTGACCGTCGTACAATATGTTTAAGACTTTTTAGACAATTATCCCTCCTAATAGGGCTTGGAAAAAGGAAACACAAGCAAGCAAATAGAAATGGTAGATGCGGAAGTTGCTCTAGCCCTTTTGCAATCAATGCATCTATCAAAGCTCCAGGATAAATTAAAAAGGTATGAAGTAAGCGCGGATTGTTTGGTGGCTTGGATATAATTATTCTATCCGGTATTTGGCCATTCTATAGAGTTTAGTTACAATATTTAATCATCATATCCTAAACACCATATTAGTCTTAAAACTTATTTTTAAAAATTTAAGTTTATATCTTATGTACATAATCATGCTAATAAGCATTAAAAGAGGGAGAATTACCAAAACAATTCTAAATCTATTGCAATTGTACCAATTCAGTACTAAACCTTTTTTTTGCCAATTCAGTTCTAAACCTTTTGCATTTGTGCCAATTCAGTCTATCCGGCCAATTTTGACTGGCGAGAGTTGACGTGGACACCGGCCCACGCTAGCCATTCATCCAACACTAACGTGACAATTTTTTAAATATTTTTTTCAAATATTTTATTTTTTGTTTTTTTTCCTTTTTTCTCTCTTTATTTTTTTTTCTTTCCTTCTTCCCTTGGCCGATCGTTGGACCAGCCAGATGCTAGGGCCGGCAAGCTTGTCCTCGCTGGCCACTATCGAGGTCGAGCTCGCCCAGCCATGGCGAGGCTCATCGTCGCTGGAGTCAGCCCTAGGCCTGACCGGCTAGGGGAGGAAGTAAAGAAAAAAACAAAGACAGATAAAAGAAAAAAGGAAAAAATATATATATTTAAAAACATTGCCAATCAATATTGGTCGGCATCCACATCAGCGATGGTTGGCCAAAATTGGCCGAATGGACTAAATTGACACAAATACAAAAGATTCAAAACTGAATTGGCAAAAAAAAAAAGGTTTACGAACGAATTGATACAATTGCAATTGGTTTAATTGGTAATTTTCCCCATTAAAAGAATATAAAAAATCAAAGCTCCGTAAAACTTTTTTTATTATATAATCATTCAAATGGTTATTTGATATAAAATATAAACTAGTACTCACATATTGCTCAACAATATCTCTTCCAAGTGCCAATTCATATATGAGATGAACTTCATGTCTTCGGGTTCATCCGTCCAAGCAACTTGAAAACCATCACCATATTCAAATGTCGTAGTGAATTTGCTCCTATACGAGCATGGCAGCCAATCTTCTTCTATTTCAAAACGCAGTATCAAATGTGC